CCAACTTTGGCTCTTGCTTGAGTCTTGCTTTCTTACATCATCAACAGGATGATTTCCATAGAAATATAACTCGTTTTCTGACTCGCCACGCTCGATGTTTTTAGTCGCATCAGTCTTCATTTTTAGTCGTATCAGTCGACATCATTTCTCTATTGTTCACATGCATTCTCTTTTTCTCGTTTCTCCAAATATGTGCTTCGAAAATCCTAATATATCCAACACTGGGAGTCATCCAGAGCGCTGCCATGAAGGATGCAGATCTCAAGAAGAAACATGTCACGATTTCTTACCATTGTGTTCGTGAGGCCGTTGCAGCTCAACTCATCACATCACCATCTAGTCACTCTATGAGTTTATGTTGACAGAATCCATTTCTTGCTCATGTGGAGATTGGACGAACCGGTTTTGGACGAGAGATCGATCGCGCTGCTCTTCGGCAGAAGGCATACTGCCTTGGCCCTCTCTGGGGACGGTTCCAACTGGAACAAAGCCTTCCGCTTCTTCAATCGCGCTGCTCTTTGGCAGAAGGCATACTGCCTTGGCCCTCACTGGGGACGGTTCCAACTGGAACAAAGCATTCCGCTTTTTGATTGTTTCAATTACCTTTTGTTGATTTCAAATACCTTTTTGTCGATTTCACACCTGGAGTGACTTGTTGATCAATTGACAGATTTCATATTCGTACACAGGGATATGCCGCAATTTGCTGTGAATCTGGGCACGCATGCGCGACAGAAACGATTTTCTCACTCTTTCTGCAGGGGTAGCGAGCCAAAAATCTTTTTTTTAAAAGAACTGAATCATTATTTAATGTCTTCACGTCCTGGTGGTGTTTTGATATTCGGACCTATATTAAAAAATATCTTCTTATAAACATAATTTTGCTGTAGATTTGCTGTAGATTTGCTGTAGATTTGCTGTAGATTTGCTGTAGATTTGCTGTAGATTTGCTGTAGTCATTACAGATGTTCCGAAATTGCTGTAAATGATGACCACAACAAATTTACAGCAAAGAAGGGCTTGCGAGCGCGCATTCCAGACCAGTATATTGCTACACAAGTTCAAGCGGCCAGGGTAAACGGTTATACAGGAAAGTGCGCTTGCGACAATTTTGCTGTAGATTTGCTGTAAATTTGCTGTAAATTTGCTGTAAATTTGCTGTAGTCATTTACAGATGTTCCGAAATTGCTGTAAATGATGACTACAAAGACTTTGATATTACTTCTTTCTCAGAAATACACTTATGTTGTTCCATAAGTGAGAGCTAATCGTAAAAAGACTTTGCTGTAAATTTGCTGTAAATTTGCTGTAAATTTGCTGTAAATTTGCTGTAAATTTGCTGTAAATTTGCTATAGTCATTTACAGATGTTCCGAAATTGCTGTAAATGATGACTACAACAAAGGAAGGACTGCTTGTTGCTGTTAAGAAAACGTTATTACAAATTGGAGGCACGAGAAAGTGAGGCGTAGCAATTTTAAACGTTGTCCAAAATAGATAGCTACAGCCTACTAGTCTATAGCCTAACAGTAGGACATCTAGTTTATTCACTCTGGTAGTATAGTACTTGCTTCAAAGATAGGATGCCCATGGTCCATCGCATACTGGACAAGAACAGCCACCGCTTCAAAAGCATAGACATGATTATTGGGATCGTCGTGATGGTATGTATCGAAGAGGATTCTGTAATCCTTCAGTCGACCATTCAAACTCTCGTACCTGTTCCGGTGTCACTACATTTTCAACCATCCCAATGTCTTCTGGCACCGCACATAGCAATCAAAGTGATGTTGGATGGCAAAGAATGCATACTGCAAGAAAGAAGCTCAGATTCAATTTTGAGAAATTTTTAAATTTGAAAAAAAAAACAGTTAAATCGCGCGCATGTACTGCTGGCGACTCCAACGATTTTGTTGTGGTCATCATTTACAGCAATTTCGGAATATCAAATTGCTGTAAATGATGACCACAACAAAATAATACAAAGTCGAAAAGTCAAACCGATTTATTTTGTCTACTTAACGAGTTTTGTGAATGTTAAACATTTGAAGTCGTAGAAGGCACTCACAGATTTTTCCTAAGTAAAGCCTTAGATTGGAGTTTCGTGCAGAAGAGGGTGAAAATGACCACATGGACTCTTGAAAAACAAGAAAAACCTGGTTTTACAACAAATTGCGGGGTATCCCAGCAGTTCTGATGTTCTTAGAATCATGTCATGATAAAAGCAAAGAACTTGAATTCGCCTGATTTGTTGGGAAACATGAGTTTTCCGCTTGCGTCTGATCGCAGAAGCTGCTTGCGCTGTTTGTCGGAGATTTGCCAGCTGACATATTGATAATATAAACGTGTCATTTGAATGTTGACTTTTCCAACTCGTTGATTCAGTGCATAGTTTGCAATATCACTTTTGTTGCATTCAAAGTTTGACCACAAAGATGTTGATGAAAGAGATCATCAATCCGCACACCATTGCCTGGAATGGTCCATTGAGAACAACCATTGTAAAATGCAATCAACATCCTGCAAGGATGTTAGACTTGAGATTTTTGTTCTTGCCAAGGTGAAGTAGATCTTTTGCCTTGCTTTCATCACCACTTTCTTCAGTGAGTTTGTTGCAGTAGCGGTCATAATGCTGTATCGTCAGTTCTAGTGGCTCAATCAACATGAAACAAAGTCAAATGAGTAGCAAATGCAACACTAGTAGTTTGATGTGACTCTGTAGAGTATATCTCTTCAGTAAAAGCCTCTGGCTATTCGAATAGTAACCCAACCTCTACAGAAGAGTTAAAGAGAGAATTATAGATGTATATAGAAAGGCACTTGAGAGTGCTTACGTGGACCTGATGACTAAGGTCTAGTTCTGTACTCAACTGAAGGAGCTTCTAAAGTCCCAATACCTTGGGGGGATTTTATCGTAGTGGGCTACTATTTACTTAGGAACAAAAGATATACATGCGCGCATTGTAAATATTTTTAGCTGTATATTTCCCATAGTACTATTCATCGGTTAAGTACGTGACGTCTCAACCAATCCGGCAAATTCGAAATGCCCCATCGTGCCTCTTCCCTCTAAATCATCATTGGTCCCTCATTGTAAAGTTCAATTTGTCAACACAGCATTCCATTGCATCACAAAAACAATGCCCACTCTTGTAGATGCTCTTTTAGATGCCGAGACTGGCAAAATTGATTCACCAAATGAGGCGCAGCTTGGACGATTCCACACAATCTAAGCGGAGCAACAAGAACACCTTGTCAGAATGGGGCAAACATCGCCATCACAAATCCGAGTCGTCGTCAAAGTGATAGCGACAGTGAAAGCAAAAGCAAAAGCGAAAGCAACTTTTGGAACAACTATTGGAAAAACTATTGGCACGACTATTGGAAGACGACGATGGGACCCCAATCGCAAAACCAGAATGGTAGCATTAAGAAGTGCAAGAAAAGGGGCACAAAGATGAAGAGATACTGCCGTGGCCGAGGCTACCGCATTTCTGTGAGTTCAAGAATGCATTTCATACCATCAGTTCACTGTCTGTTGTGTAAGAAGCATGATGTCAGCAAGGCATTGGCTGCAAAATACAAGAAAGGACATCACAAAAGGTGTCCTAATAAGAAAGAGAATGTTCAAAAGTATCAGCAACAACAGAGCAGGTTTGCATGGCATGCATCACAACCAGCGGCGGCAACAGCAGCAGCATCTGATGTCACCACTGCATTGGCATATACAAGGGAGAGTGAAGTCCGCATGGGCACTTTGAAAGGCGTCCCGAATTGGATGCTTGACAATGTCAAGACTGCCAATGAGCTTGATGACGACAATGATGAAGACTCCCACGATGCTTCTGATTTTGTCCAAGACTTGCGTCACTGCATTGACAAAGCCATGTCAACTGCCAATGACCAAGACTCTTCCTTCAATTTTGCTTTCTCATGCAAAGCCCCACCTGCCATTGTCATTGCAATTCATAATATCAGTGAACAGTTTGGCCATAGACAACCTCCGAGTACATCTGCAACACTACCAATGACTCCAGATTTGTGAAGAAGATTGAGCGGTACTATGAGATATTTCCCCAAGGCTCATGTCAGTTTGAGTTTCCCAAAGACTTGAATAAAGACCCAAGCCCAAACTATCATCAGCTCAAAGGGCAGAAGATTATCTATTTGGATTGGAATCTGTGCCATCCTAATGTGATACTGCTGTGTCCAGTCTGTGCATATAATGTGCGCAATGGCAGTGCTGCATCACACTCTGACTCATTATTGGTGCACACACGCTGCAATTTTCGGAAGAACCAAGGAAGTCTCTTTCCAATATGGAACTTCGATGGCTTGATTACTTGGTGTGCAGTTATGGTTTACCAATGTCAACACTGTGAGGAGAACGTCAGTGGTAATGATGGCCGTCTACTCAATATGCTCCCGCCACATGTTTCAGCAACATATCCTGTATTGCCCAAGTATGCTTGCGGTGGATTTCACTTACACAAGGATGCAAGCAGATTCTTAGAGTCCATGATGAAGACATATGGAAATGGGGACATGGTCAGCAATTTGCTGCAACAATCTGTTGGTATCCACTATACCCAGAAGGCAGTATCATACCTGAGCAAGCATCCTAGTCGCCCTTTCATGAAGTTGGAAGAGTTCACAAACGGCAATTGGCCTCCCAGTGGAGCTACACTGCGACGACTCTTCGAGAGTGCAGAATACTCTCCTCTCAACATTTATGGATACTCTAATTTTGAGCGGTACACTCGAGAATGTCAAAGTGTGACAGTGGTGGAAACGGAATCCATTGCAACGGACCACACCTTCCAAGTCACCAATGCCTATGGTAACAAGGAAGGGATGAAAGCAATGTTCACCTGCATCAAAGCGCCGTCAAAGGAGATGGTCGCAATAGTAGGGGTGCCCTCTACAAAACTCCAAGACGCTGCACATTGCTTGAAGCAGAGCTGTATCAAACGTGGAATGAAGCCATCGATTATCTCAACTGACATGATGCCACATGGAGAAGAGTTTTGGAAGGAACTCTATGGAGAAGATATTCATTGTCAACTGGGTCTTTTCCACTTACTTACAAGAATATATAGTACCTTGGATCGCCGTTCCAATCTCTTTGGGGAGTGCTTGCTTGCATTGAAAGAATGCATCTATAGATTTGATCCGGCAGATTTGAAGAATGTGAGGGAAGCGCTCAAGGCTGGAACTCTTTCAAATAACGGGAAACAGTACACAGATGCAGAAATTGATGAGATGCAACGCACCAAAGTTTTCTCTCGCCGTTATTCCAAGTACCTGAAGAAAGAGTTTCACAGTGCAGTTCAAATTCAATCCAACCTTGCTGCTTGGATTGAGAATTGGGATCATGAGGAGGATGATTTCCAGAGACCTGTTTTTACTTACAAGACAGCGGATACTACAACAAACCAGTATGGCAAGATTAGCTATGTACTTGACTGCATGACAGCTGAAACCTACTCTGCAATCCCGGCACCACCAGGTTCAAAACATGGGCTTCCAACATTCAAAAGCAACCGCCCTGAATCCATGTTGGAGAAGTTCCATGAATTGTTGGCCCACTACTGCAATATTGGGTGTGGCAATGAATTTGCAAATGGTATAATAATGAAAGGATGGACGGAGTACAATGTCACTGCAAGACACCGCTACTACTGCATGAGAAAGCGGTCTGCAAACCAACTTGAACAACTTCAAGCGCTTGATATAACTCCTACGTTCCTTGACCATTCTTTGTTACACTGCATCAATGAACAGTCACGGGATCTTGGACATGGTGATCTGTTCAGCAACTATGAGAAACCACCCAGTAAGAACAATGGTGAAGTATTCCTCAAGAACTACTTCAACCAACAGGTGGAACAGAACAGGAACCAATTGTTTGACAAAGACTCAAAGCAGTGCACTTGCAATGAATGCAAAATCCCAGCTGGGTCTCCTCCTGCAGTGCCTGCAGCTGGAGTTGAAGATAACAATTCTCGTCTACTCACTTGTCAACTCACTTGTCAAATGGACTTGATGGCACTTGATGGCACTTCTACTGCCACCAATGCAGTGACAGAAATGCCTCCAATGCGGGTAGACCCACCAAGGCGTCAACAAACCTTTGGATACTGCTTTCCTTTCCATCCATACCGGTGCGATGATCTCCAAAACTATGTCAAGAGAAGACAAGCTGGCGAGGTGGTACGTGGAAGACCACCACACAGTTTCAACTGTCCTACTAAGTCAATGTTGAAGGGCTGGGCTCCAGTTGATTGATTTTGTTCTTTCCAGCTATTCTTTGAAAAGTATTAGTTATATTTGAATAGTAAATGAATTATAGCCACATTCTAATATACACTACTTGGTTCCCAATTTTGCCTCAACATGTTCTACGCAAAAATTCCACCATACAAATATGCAGAGAATATGTTGTTCACCATATAAAAAAATATGTCTGTCGCGCGTTTCAGGAATTACATCATATAATCGCAAAAATGAACATTATTCTTTAAAAATAAAATGGTTCAGAATAGACCCGGAAGTAAAAATGGCTTTCAAACCCATTTTGATTGGTTGGTTCGTACTTCCATTATTTTGGGAAGTACGTGGTCTGTCCTCCGTACGTATAGTTTTGTAGTCTGAAAGAACCTGATAGTCACAAGTTTTCCTTGTCTATATTTCGTCCAGTAATTGATCTGTTTTGGCTGACTAG